CAATAACTGTTTCAGACCGATTTATTTTTACCCCTAGTACACTTGATGATTTGACATTGGGACAGCCCTAAGCACTCACACACTCACCAGGAACATACCTCAAAGTCAAGGTTTGGATTGGGTGTTTGTGAATGCACTCAAAAATGCATGTGCAAACCCTCAGGTTGAACTTTTGTAAACCATGGTTGATGCCCTCTATAGAAGCACAGCCTGATTATCCCACTAGGGCCCTGTGGCAAACATTTTCCAGGGCCCCATGCAGATTGACACTATTTTCATGTAATTTGTTGAACATATAGTTATGTAGGTAGGAATGTACAACATGCGAGCTATGCAATGGCTAATCTTAAAGACAGGAGGGAAAATCATACAACCAGTCATCCTATCCTGGGACCACTTTTTGGGAAGTTAGCCTGGTTGGTATTTTACCCCAAATAAGGCCTCCTCTGCACTTGTTTCCTCTTCAGAGAATGCAGTTGACAAATTGCTACAATTGGCTTCTTTACTGGATCTGAACATTTGACTCGCACACACAAACAACTCCTCCACCTCAGCAGTGAGCATGTCACTGCTGAGGTGGACTAGTTGGCAGAAGTGAGCTTTTTTGTCATCGATTCGTTTCCCCCCCCCATTGGTCGCACTGTCGTTATCATCCTCTGAAGGCAAAAAAAAATCATCTCAAGTTTTGCTGTCATTTTTCCCTACTTAGACAGAAACCTCTACCCCATATTTGGTGAGCAGTTATGTAACAACATCTCATTCCTGGAACACTGTTACTGATACTTAAGTTAGTATATGCCATCGTTGGTGTCAAGGCCAATAAAAACATGATAAATCTTTAAAAGAATGTATTACCTAACACAGGTTTGAAGCAGGAACAAATGCTTAACTAAGATATGGTAAAAATCTGCATAAAAAGTTAAAAATTATAAATATAGTTGGTCGAGAGATAAAAAGATTATTCAAGTCAATCTGGTTCTTTCCTTTGAACAGTTCTCCATGAAAATAATTAGTGTTTAGGGTGAGGCAGCTTTTAGTCTCTACACTCCTCAACGGTGGGACAAGTGCTTGGTTTTTAATATATTTTAGTATTTTCTTGTGTCATTTGTCTTTGTAAAGCAGTGTTGTCAATAAAAAAAAAAACTAGCATGATTTGGAAAGTAGCATTCCCTCAGTGCTCCGTCAACACCCACCCACTCAAAAGACACGCCACTTACTTACATTCACGAGCGCCGCTGCTCCAGAAGTGGGCATCAGCTCATCGCTTGCATTGTGTAGAAACTATATTGTCTTCTGTCTCATTCAATGATAAGGAAACTCTAAACTTCATCACAATACATGTAAAAATAAAACGTGATTATTTAACGACAAACTCACAGTATAACCTCTGTCATTGGTGACGCGCTTTGAGTGTGGGCTAATTCACGCAAGGGGTAGAGAACGAGCATGCAGACATGATTGGTTCATCAGATTGGTACCTCGTGGCAGACATTGGTCGAAGTTTTTACATGCTTACAACTGCTACATTCCTTTTTCAGAGCACGAGTTATTAATTTCTGTCAGGACCTGAAGACAATTTCAAGCAAAATCTTAAAGAGTCTATCTTGAGAAAATGACCAACCTTGCCTTTAATGTTCCTAATGTTCTGTTTTGACTGTTTTTGTACAGCACTTTGAAATGATCTTTGTATGAATAGTGCTTTATAAATAAATCATCTTTCTTTCCTCTGTTTGGACTGGTAAAAAGCTCTCGTGTGACATAGTGTTATGAGGCAGTTTTTTTTTTTTAAATGTGCAAATTCCTCATTTTGAAATCACATTGATGATATTAAGAAAAATCTAATTTGACCTGATCTATGTTTTTTTCCATTGGTTTAAACCCTGCAGTTAAATATTCTGTTGAGAGTTCACTGAAAACTTAAATCCTCAAAAGCTTATCCTGTTGCATAAGTTCCTAAAAGACTGTAAACACTGTACCGACGTCCATCTGTTTGATTTCCTCAAGCTATGTTATCAGGAATGAATAATTCACACATGGACACACACCCAAACAACAGTACAACTATTGACAGTGAGATAAAATCGCCGCTCTTGGTTCAGCAGGTGGGATTTTATTTATCTTCATGGCTGCAGAGCTGTAACATTAACAAATTAGCATATAAAAGTAAACAGAGATAGCCACAATTGAAATGACACCTAACATCTGAGATTACATTATGTAGTGTGGGCACAGGAACATATACAAATAATGAGACAAGCAATATTGGATTAGCGTAGTTCTTAGCTAGTGATACGTTTTCATAAAACACGTGGTGACGCACAGTGCATGGAACCATTGTAGATCTCTAAGTCGATTAACCCAATTTAACTGGATTAAAAGGCACTTTTTCAGTTCCATTACGTTTAACAACATCTGCAGATAGTCATATTGTGTGGCTTGACTGTTTTGTAATGGTGATAATCGATGGTGGATTGTTTTACTGATTTATCCCTTTTACTTATAGTTCAGGGTCATTTGGAGTACAGTATTTATCATCAAACATTTCCAGATAAAGAGAACTCAGACTACTAAAAGGTAGAGCATAGTGCATTTTGTCACTGTATGGGTTGTACTTAGGCAGGGTTTGGATGGCTGTGGGTCAGTGATAGAGACCCTTGTTTCTGATAAGGTTGACGGTTCAAACCCCAGCTCCTGCAGCCACATGTCAAAGTGTCCTTGGACAAGAAACTCAACCCTAAATTACTGCATCAGCAGTGTGTGAACATGCATGAATTAGTCAATAATACTGATGGTGACTTTACAGAGCAGCCTCTGCCATCAGTGTGTGAATTGGTGACCTGCGCTGTGAAAAGCGCTTTGAGTAGTCAGAAGCATAGAAAAGATCTATACAAGCTCTTACCATTTAAATGTTATTCATTAGTCATAAAAATATATATTTGAATTGCACTAATGTTCATTCGAGCAGATTGCTATTTTTTCTGCATTTTTATTTGTCTCTGAAAAAAACAAGCAGCAAGAGAGGGGCTTAATGTCCAATTGATTTTACAGTAAAGTCACAATACATAACTGCTTGCTAGCTCATTGATCCTTTCATAGTTGGGGGAGGGCCACAGCAGAGAGATGAAAGAGAGAAAAAGGTTCATTTTGATGTAAAAAAGAAAAAGAGTGTGGGTAGATTATTTTCTGATCTTATCGGAGTCACAGATTTATTTTGGTTTTGGCAGTAAGTGATGGATCATTTTATTTTATTGTGTAATGTCTCAGAAGACAAATTCTGAAACAAATCACCGTCCCAAAATCATACAGTTAGTTAAAATATAATGAACATTGCCAAAGCTTAATACAAACCCTCATTTATGTCACAGACCGGGGTTAATTAAAAGCTCCAAAATCTTCTCAATGAAGAAAATGTCATACTTGATAAACCTCTTGTTGAATAGATAGAACCAAAAGCTATATAAAGAAAGTGATGAACATAAATGCATTTTTAGTTCAATTCAATAATAAGGGCTACATTTGCTCTGAGATGATAAATTGTTAGTAATCAAATGAACAAACATGATTTTCTGGTATTTTGTATTTAGTACAGTGTCTTTAATGAAAAGAAAAACAATCAACATTTTCAAAAATTAAGAAATTTCTTTTAAAAGTAAATAAGTGCGTCTTTCAAAAAAAGCTGCTCTTATCCCAAAACTCCAATCCCGTGTTGCAAATAAATATATCATTTTTTTTAATGTCCCCTTAGGCTGTGTTCACACTTGACTTTTTTTTCAGAAAAAAGCGCTGCGCCTTTTGAGCGCTTGTGCATGAGTGTTCTAGAAACCTTAACAACAGGATCTGCAACTATCTAAAAACATGTTAACATTAATGATACATTTGTATTCAAAAACATTTGTCTGTCCTAACTTTGGCTAGTTAAGTATGAAAATTAGTTTGCATTCTTGTTTTTATTGTAAGTGAGTTAAGTGTAACGGCCAAGCACTGTAGTGAAACTAAGTGTAATTAATAATTGACCAGTCTGCAGCAGACCAACAACACATCTAAAAAACATAAAGTTTACATCTGCATTGTACGACGGAGGATTAGGGACACGTTAAAAAAGAAATCTAAAATTTTGAGATTAAACTCGTAAATTTACGAGAATAAAGTTGTAAATTTACAAGAATAAGGTTGTACCTTTTTGAGAATTAAGTCGTACATTTACGAGATTAAACTCGTAAATTTATGAAGTTCGAGACCAGCCTGCGCAAAAATGATGAGAGAAGAACGCTTAAAAACTAATAAAATAATAAAGTCGTTATTTTAGTCTATATCCGAAGAGCAGCAGCAGCCTGTTCTCAAATGAAAAACTTTGAGCATCTTGTTATACTTTAGTAAAGGTTTCCCTAATAAGGAAATAGGCTACTTCCTTGTGTAGTCGATAAAAACAGTTAGTTCAAGAGAAGTTTTCACTTCAACTTGCAAGACCATGTTTATCTGTAAAATGATGTATGAAAAGGACACAAACTGGCTCCTTGTTGTCCTTGTTGTCCTTGTTGTCCTCAGTGTCCTTAATGTCTTTGTTGTCCTGAGTGTCCTTGTTGTCCTCAGTGTCCATGTTGTCCTGAGTGTCCTCAGTGTCCTCATTGTCCTTGTTGTCCTGAGTGTCCTTGTTGTCCTGAGTGTCCTCATTGTCCTCATTGTCCTTGTCGTCCTTGTTGTCCTCAGTGTCCTTAATGTCTTTGTTGTCCTGAGTGTCCTGAGTGTCCTTGTTGTCCTCAGTTTCCATTTTGTCCTTGTTGTCCTCAGTGTCTTTGTTGCCCTGAGTGTCCTCAGTGTCCATGTTGTCCTGAGTGTCCTCAGTGTCCTTGTTGTCCTGAGTGTCCTCATTGTCCTCAGTGTCCTTGTTGTCCTGAGTATCCTCAGTGTCCTTGTTGTCCTGAGTATCCTCAGTGTCCTCATTCTCCATAATGCACCATATTAGTTTATTTTTGCCAATAAATGAGAAACAAACAACAAGATGCAGAATGTTATAATTCATTAATTTATTTTTCATTTCTCATTATTCTTTTTGTATTCACAGACTTGTGAACTTGATTGATCCACAGCCGCTCTCTTTCTCTCTCTCTCTCTCTCTTTCCTGCTTGCAGAGGCTGTCGGTTAAAATATGACTGATGTCGTGTAATTTCTTTCAAAGCTTTGTTATTAAAAAGTCATGAGACAGTTTGATCAATTTAAAACATTCACTTATTGATTTGATTTGACCAGATAAAGTGACAATTTAAAGTGTCCAATTGACCTTGAAGCTGCATGTTTTTGGGGATGTGGGAGGAAACCGGAGACCCCCGGTGAAAACCCACGCAGTCACGGGGAGGACATGCAAACTCCACACAGACAGGAGGATGTGTCTGCTGTGAGGCCGCGGTGCTAACCACCGAGCCGCCGTGCTGCCCTGTACAGCTCTGGGAAGTGTTTTAGGCTGGCTACACACTAGACGATTTTAAACCCTGCCCCGTAAAGGATTGAAGGGGGCGTGGCCTGATTTGACACTTGTGGCAACTGATAATTTTTTGTAATAATTTAAAATAATTTAAGTGTGTGGTGTCAAAATGATTATTTAACTGCTCTCCATCTACTCAGATCCTCCCCGAACTGGAATCAAAAATATCAAACATTGGCCGGCGGAATTTCTGAAAATAGCCAATGAGAGTGAGCAGATAGGTCAGCGGCGTACACCTGATGTTCAGTACGATTACAGCTCACAAACATGGCAGCCAACATAAACACAACCCAAAGCCCGTAGCCAAGTGGAATATTGAAAAAGAAGAGTAGTATAAAAACCTGTCCTTATGTTTGTGGTCTCGTTCATCCTACATGACATCGACTCGGTTACAGAAGAACGTCTTCTTGAACCAGGATTTAACACGCTGGTAGCAGTTCTTCTTCTTCTTCTGCTTGCTGTCGTTGCCATCTGAGGTTGATGGTGTCTTGTTGTCCTCCTCGTTGGCTTCCTCAGTGTCCTCGTTTTCCTTGTTGTCCTCAGTGTCCTTAATGTCTTTGTTGTCCTGAGTGTCCTGTGTGTCCTGAGTGTCCATGTTGTCCTGAGTGTCCTCAGTGTCCTTGTTGTCCTGAGTGTCCTTGTTGTCCTCAGTGTCCTCATTGTTAAGACTAAAAACACAAATACACACAGTAAGAGTTCTGTTCCGGTTACTGTCATTCCAACTTCAAGGAATAATCTTTCATCCAGTAGATGTCGCCCTTGAGCACCAGCATGAAACCTCAGCAAACATTTGGCCACACCTCTGCCATACTGAGGCCTCCACTGTCCTCCAGCGACACACCTCCAACCCCCATCCCCTCGCGTCTACACGAATGAGTTGAGCACAAGCGGTGGACAAAATAGGCCCTTGGCTCGAGCTGCAATCACCTGTGGCCTGCATTGTTGTGTTAGAGGGCTAATGCTAACACACTTTAGATAGCTCGTAGCTTCACATTGCTTGTACATTTACACGGAATGACCGTGATCTAAAAAACCTTATAAATTTGTACTTTTTGATTCTATTGATCATTAAAAGAGTGGAGATTTCATTGTTATAAAAACAAGCGGTATCGACAAGTATTGAAGACGACAAATGTGACAACCTTACTAAAACATTTGCATCAAAATTTAAGAGGATTGGCATCCAAATATGGAAAAGTAAGCGTATCCATCAGGAATCATATCTTTTTAACTATCCCACAGCTGAAAAGAAGAATCTCACGAGTTATTGACTTATTTGCTGTTGTCTCATTTCTAGTTAAGATCTTAAAGTGAGAAAACCAAAATATGAGAGCTTCACTCCAGGCTCACACAGGGCAAAGACAGAGATAAGATGTTATCCTAAATTTTACTTTGCTGTGGGATTGTATTATTATTGTTGATGCACAAGTGCTTTCACTGTAATGATAATGAAGAAGAGTTAAATGGGCTATATTTGTGTGTTTAAAGGTTCCTCTCACTCCTCTTACCTGACTGATGTCTCTTCTTCCTCTAGCTGCAGCATGTTCTCAGGTTTTGCAGGCCGGACTTGGATCAAAGCTGATGGAAAAACTGTGGGAGGTGGACTATGCTGGTCTGTTGGAACTGAAACGATGCTCTTCTTCCTGTTGTGTTCAAACAATAAGTGTCACACTGATGTAAATGTCTAAATCGAATTCAGTCATTCCAAAAGTTTTTAAGACCAAAGGAAAAGCTAATTTTGGCCCAATATAACCTTGATCACAGGATTATTTGTGTTTGTATTCATATTTTATAAATAAAATGAACACAGTCTCAGTGACCATTGGTTTCTGAAGAGGCGCTATGTGTCACCATATTGGAAACACTCAGATCAAACAGTTCTGGTGGTGGTCATCTTCTTGACACTACTCTGCACATCTCTGTCACTCTGCAGGAGGCCGTGTGCTGCTGAAAGAACAGACTGAGATCCCACCTGACTGGATCTCAGTTCTGGGACTTGTTTGAAGAGGCTCTATCCACGAGGGGGTTCTTTGAGAACTACACACCATAGGGACTTTTCTTTCTGTCTGCATTCCCACCGCCATGGTGCTGGGAGAGTGCCTGCTCTGAAACAGGAGCTAAAAAGGTTCCTCTAAACAGGGTTCTAGGAACGTAAGGGGTTCATGGTTCCTGCGGTGTGGAATTGTTAAAATACGGGGAGAGTTCCAATAGTTCAGAGATCTATGAAAAAGTTCCTGCGGTCAAAATATGCCTACTATCTCCCCCGGACTTCCAATCAATAAAAAATAAATACAATTCTTTGTTTGTGATGTAAAAATTACATTTCAATTTGGGACCTAATGGGGATGCCTTGGTATTTGCAGCCTGTCTCAAGTGGACAATGGAGGAACTGCAGTTTTTTGCACTTAACAGAGATTCTTGCTTGGTCGGAAAAAAGTAAGAATTTCCAGTGAGGACCAGGCTTGCCAAAGACACCGGTCTCCAGAAAACGGATTTATCATAAAATTTACACAGCTTGCAAATTAATCACTGAGATTATAAAACACTGAATAATAAATGGATAACTAGAAGTACTGAGGTGTTTAAAAACATTTTGCCTGTACTGCACCCATCAGTTAGAAACTAAATCCACTTTAAAAAGTTAAAGTACTTACTGGGTGATGAAGGGGTGCTGGAGGACTTCATTGGGTGTGATCCTCTTGTTCTGATCCATCGTCAGCATGGCCTTCATTAGCTCGATGCACTGCTTGTATTCTGCAGCCTTGGCTGGGATCACTCTTTTAATCTAGTGATGAAAAACAAGGATCAATTCCACCATCAGTCAAGCCATCATCCTGGTCATCCATTAAGACATACAACTGACAGTGACAGTGCAAGAAGCTTCCCACTGTACCGTTTTGAGATCATCCAGAGATGAAAAGCTTAGTTTGTCGGGGGCTTGTGGAAGGAGCTCTACCCCGTACTCCTCAATCGTCTGAAAGAAGGTTCAGTGTGTTTATATGAATGTTTCTCTTCCTGAATCTAACTAATCAACAGCAGTCTATAAACATAATTGTTATGCAAACCTTAAAGTATCACATGAGTCTAAAGAAAAAAAAGAAACAACTTGTGGTACCTGGAACCTCCAGCTGTTGGACTTTGTCTCAATAAAAAATGTATGTTTATACATTGCGTTGTCCAGAAGCTCGTCTGGCGGCTGACCCAGGAGTTCAATCATAAACTGCAGCTGGAGAAAAAACACATTGATACATCAACAACAAGAACACTTCTCTTCTGGTCTACATGCTAATGCTAATAACTCCCACCAAAGCTAACAAACATAGTTCTCTGCACCACTAAAATCACATTACGTCCCTCTGTAGTACATGTTAGGTGAATCCCTTAGTTTTAGATTTGATCAACTGCTGTGGGTTTAGGAAAATGTATTTGTGAAGTTCTGCTTTAACAAACATTGAGGAAAAAAACTACTAAACTAGACCTTAACAAGCATCATTAGTTGATAAAAGAGTCAAGCTTTGGTAAATGACTTACTGTGTAATAGTCTTCACAATCAAACAGGTCTCTACCGATGAGCATGCCGAATAACACGCAGCCCACTGACCACATGTCGATGGCCTCAGAAAATGGCATGCCGAGGATGATCTCGGGAGCCCTAAATGTGTTGAAGAAAAGTGTTAGATAGAATCAATAACACTGTCATATTCCAAGGAGTGAACATGAAAACAATAATTTGGCAAACAATGGCTTTTTCCTAATTGGAAACCAATGAAAAAGTATGCTGGCACATAATCAACATGATCTTGGATCTTACCTGAAGCCAACTGGTTGCAGCTCCATGCCCTGCCTGGCTGTAGAATTATCCATGGCCAAGCCAAAGTCGATAAGTTTAGCTCTTAAGGGTGGTTTCTTGTCCACTAGCATTATGTTTTGTAGTTTGATGTCAGTGTGGATCACCCCGATGTTCTTCAGTGCTTTAAGCGCTGTGGCTATCTGCAAGAACAATCCATGTACATGTCAGATACTGTACCAAGGTTTAACAGACGGTTACTTGTGCTTTCTATCTGAAGCTGCCGAATTCATACCTGTTTGATTATAGTCCTTGAGTCAGCCAACGTCACATGATTGTAATATAAATAGTCATATAAGTTCGTTTCGAGACTCTCAAAGACGAGCGCCTCGCCATGCCTTACACTAAAACATCCATGGAACTTGACGATGTTGTGCTTGTCAAGTTTTAGCCTCATCAACCTTCTAAGCATGCCACCTGGGGAGAAAAACGACAAGATGTTCACCAAAGTTATAATCTTTGTGTAAAAGTCAGAAAAAACAAATATGAAAGGCAAGGAAACTTTTTGCAACATGGGCATGTGAATGAAAGCTATTCTTTACTTCTGTTGGGGACATGGGGCTTTGAGTGGTCAGAGGACTAGAAAGGGGATTTATAAGCACAGTCCAGTTGCATAAGGTAACATTTGTTTGCCCTTGTGATCACTAAATATAACTTGTTAAATATGATGCACCAGTTATAAAATTGTCAAATCTCTATTTTATGTTGTGAACTTCAAAATCGACCAAATGCCTCACCTCCTGTCTGCAGCTGTTTTCAAATGAGGGGATCTTTATAGCCACAAGACTGTCCGTGTCTCTTTCCAAACACCGCAACACTTTCCCGAAGCCACCCTGGCCCACGACTTTCAGGAACTCATATTTGTCAGGGAACTGGTAGAATTTGTTTTGGGGATTTTTAGCTGATGGTTTTGCCAACCCATGATGGACACCTGCTTTTATTATCATGTTGTCCTGAGTGTCCTCAATGTCCTGAGTGTCCATGTTGTCCTGAGTGTCCTCAATGTCCTGAGTGTCCATGTTGTCCTGAGTGTCCTCAGTGTCCTTGTTGTCCCGAGTGTCCTCATTGTCCTCAGTGTCCTTGTTGTCCTGAGTGTCTTCATTGTCCTCGTTGTCCTGAGTGTCCTGAGTGTCCTCAGTGTCCTTGTTGTCCTGAGTGTCCTTGTTGTCCTCAGTGTCCTCATTGTTAAGACTAAAAACACAAACACACACAGTAAGAGTTCTGTTCCGGTTACTGTCATTCCAACTTCAAGGAATAATGTTTGATCCAGTAGATGTCGCCCTTGAGCACCAGCATGCATTCCCACCGCCATGGTGCTGGGAGAGTGCCTGCTCTGAAACAGGAGCTAAAAAGGTTCCTCTAAACAGGGTTCTAGGAACTTAAGGGGTTCATGGTTCCTGCGGTGTGGAATTGTTAAAATACGGGGAGGGTTCCAATAGTTCAGAGATCTATGAAAAAGTTCCTGCGGTCAAAATATGCCTACTATCTCCCCCGGACTTCCAATCAATAAAAAATAAATACAATTCTTTGTTTGTGATGTAAAAATGTACATTTCAATTTGGGACCTAATGGGGATGCCTTGGTATTTGCAGCCTGTCTCAAGTGGACAATGGAGGAACTGCAGTTTTTTGCACTTAACAGAGATTCTTGCTTGGTCGGAAAAAAGTAAGAATTTCCAGTGAGGACCAGGCTTGCCAAAGACACCGGTCTCCAGAAAACGGATTTATCATAAAATTTACACAGCTTGCAAATTAATCACTGAGATTATAAAACACTGAATAATAAATGGATAACTAGAAGTACTGAGGTGTTTAAAAACATTTTGCCTGTACTGCACCCATCAGTTAGAAACTAAATCCACTTTAAAAAGTTAAAGTACTTACTGGGTGATGAAGGGGTGCTGGAGGACTTCATTGGGTGTGATCCTCTTGTTCTGATCCATCGTCAGCATGGCCTTCATTAGCTTGATGCACTGCTTGTATTCTGCAGCCTTGGCTGGGATCACTCTTTTAATCTAGTGATGAAAAACAAGGATCAATTCCACCATCAGTCAAGCCATCATCCTGGTCATCCATTAAGACATACAACTGACAGTGACAGTGCAAGAAGCTTCCCACTGTACCATTTTGAGATCATCCAGAGATGAAAAGCCTAGTTTGTTGGGGGCTTGTGGAAGGAGCTCTACCCCGTACTCCTCAATCGTCTGAAAGAAGGTTCAGTGTGTTTATATGAATGTTTCTCTTCCTGAATCTAACTAATCAACAGCAGTCTATAAACATAATTGTTATGCAAACCTTAAAGTATCACATGAGTCTAAAGAAAAAAAAGAAACAACTTGTGGTACCTGGAACCTCCAGCTGTTGGACTTTGTCTCAATAAAAAATTTATGTTTATACACTGCGTAGTTCAGAAGCTCGTCTGGCGGCTGACCCAGGAGTTCAATCATAAACTGTAGCTGGAGAAAAAACACATTGATACATCAACAACAAGAACACTTCTCTTCTGGTCTACATGCTAATGCTAATAACTCCCACCAAAGCTAACAAACATAGTTCTCTGCACCACTAAAATCACATTATGTCCCTCTGTAGTACATGTTAGGTGAATCCCTTAGTTTTAGATTTGATCAACTGCTGTGGGTTTAGGAAAATGTATTTGTGAAGTTCTGCTTTAACAAACATTGAGGAAAAAAACTACTAAACTAGACCTTAACAAGCATCATTAGTTGATAAAAGAGTCAAGCTTTGATAAATGACTTACTGTGTAATATTCTTCACAGTGAAACAGGTCTCTACGGTTGAGCATGCTGAATAACACGCAGCCCACTGACCACATGTCGATGGCCTCGGAAAATGGCATGCCGAGGATGATCTCGGGAGCCCTAAATGTGTTGAAGAAAAGTGTTAGATAGAATCAATAACACTGTCATATTCCAAGGAGTGAACATGAAAACAATAATTTGGCAAACAATGGCTTTTTCCTAATTGGGAACCAATGAAAAAGTATGCTGGCATATAATCAACATGATCTTGGGTCTTACCTGAAGCCAACTGTTTGCAGCTTCTTGCCCTGCCTGGCTGTAGAATTATCCATGGCCAAGCCAAAGTCGATAAGTTTAGCTCTTAAGGGTGGTTTCTTGTCCACTAGCATTATGTTGTCTAGTTTGATGTCAGTGTGGATCACCCCGATGTTCTTCAGTGCTTTAAGCGCTGTGGCTATCTGCAAGAACAATCCATGTACATGTCAGATACTGTACCAAGGTTTAACAGATGGTTACTTGTGCTTTCTATCTGAAGCTGCCGAATTCATACCTGTTTGATTATAGTCCTTGAGTCAGCCAACGTCACATGATTGTAATATAAATGGTCATATAAGGTCACTTCGAGACTCTCAAAGACGAGCGCCTCGCCATGCCTTACACTAAAACATTCATGGAACTTGACGATGTTGTGCTTGTCAAGTTTTAGCCTCATTAACCATCTGAGCATGGCCACCTGGGGAGAAAAACGACAAGATGTTCACCAAAGTTACTAGAAAGGGGATTTATAAGCACAGTCCAGTTGCATAAGGTAACATTTGTTTGCCCTTGTGATCACTAAATATAACTTGTTAAATATGATGCACCAGTTATAAAATTGTCAAATCTCTATTTTATGTTGTGAACTTCAAAATCGACCAAATGCCTCACCTCCTGTCTGCAGCTGTTTTCAAATGAGGGGATCTTTATAGCCACAAGACTGTTCGTATCTCTTTCCAAACACCGCAACACTTTCCCGAAGGCACCCTGGCCCACGACTTTCAGGAACTTATATTTGTCAGGGAACTGGTAGAATTTGTTTTGGGGATTTTTAGCTGATGGTTTTGCCAACCCATGATGGACACCTGCTTTTATTATCATGTTGTCCTGAGTGTCCTCATGTCCTGAGTGTCCTCAATGTCCTGAGTGTCCATGTTGTCCTGAGTGTCCTCAGTGTCCTTGTTGTCCCGAGTGTCCTCATTGTCCTCAGTGTCCTTGTTGTCCTGAGTGTCTTCATTGTCCTCGTTGTCCTGAGTGTCCTCAGTGTCCTCAGTGTCCTTGTTGTCCTTGTTGTCCTGAGTGTCCTTGTTGTCCTCAGTGTCCTCATTGTTAAGACTAAAAACACAAATACACACAGTAAGAGTTCTGTTCCGGTTACTGTCATTCCAACTTCAAGGAATAATCTTTCATCCAGTAGATGTCGCCCTTGAGCACCAGCATGAAACCTCAGCAAACATTTGGCCACACCTCTGCCATACTGAGGCCTCCACTGTCCTCCAGCGACACACCTCCAACCCCCATCCCCTCGCGTCTACACGAATGAGTTGAGCACAAGCGGTGGACAAAATAGGCCCTTGGCTCGAGCTGCAATCACCTGTGGCCTGCATTGTTGTGTTAGAGGGCTAATGCTAACACACTTTAGATAGCTCGTAGCTTCACATTGCTTGTACATTTACACGGAATGACCGTGATCTAAAGAAACCTTTTAAATTTGTACTTTTTGATTCTACTGATCATTAAAAGAGTGGAGATTTCATTGTTATAAAAACAAGCGGTATCGACAAGTATTGAAGACGACAAATGTGACAACCTTACTAAAACATTTACATCAAAGTTTAAGAGGATTGGCATCCAAATATGGAAAAGTAAGCGTATCCATCAGGAATCATATCTTTTTAACTATCCCACAGCTGAAAAGAAGAATCTCACGAGTTATTGACTTATTTGCTGTTGTCTCATTTCTAGTTAAGATCTTAAAGTGAGAAAACCAAAATATGAGAGCTTCACTCCAGGCTCACACAGGGCAAAGACAGAGATAAGATGTTATCCTAAATTTTACTTTGCTGTGGGATTGTATTATTATTGTTGATGCACAAGTGCTTTCACTGTAATGATAATGAAGAAGAGCTAAATGGGCTATATTTGTGTGTTTAAAGGTTCCTCTCACTCCTCTTACCTGACTGATGTCTCTTCTTCCTCTAGCTGCAGCATGTTCTCAGGTTATCTGAAAAGAAACAAGAGAAAATGAGAACAAAGTTACTTACAATCCAGTTTCATCTCATTTCATATTTGATTTATTTGCTCATTTCAGTGTTTGGTTCCCACAAAATAAAACACAACATGAAATATTTTCTCATGATAACACTGTCCATAAGCAAACAGGAGCAGGAAGAAGAAAACATATAATACCTGCCCCCTTCTTAAGAACAAAATATAGCCTACTATTGAAACAGAATAAGATGGCTAACCTCTTGTTTTCTTTTCTTTCACAAAACAAAAATAAATAAACAATATAAAAATAATCAAATACAATCAGTTAGATTTACTCAATGATTTCATAATTTCCCAAAACTGTTTCTTTATATTTTTTTAAATTATATAATACTTGAGCATCATTTTAAGTGATTTTTGAGATAATTCCATAATTTAACTCCATTTACAATAAATTTGTTTTAATGTTGTGTGTGCATCGTCATTGTGAAAAAGAAAACCTGTTTGTCTTAAATCTGTAAATCTGAATATTGTACATTTCTTCTCTCTGTCCAACTCCAGTTTGGAATAAACAAAGAGCTCAGAAATCGAGCTCCATCAAGGAGCGATAACGAGGAACTTACCTTTATCAAAGAAGTTGATTTACTGTCAATAGTTCAAATAACTTGCTGGATAACCTCAAAGCTTGTGATTTGTTCAACTGCTCCAAGTGAAATGAGTATTTATTAAATCCCCTTCATTCAGAACTTTTGAGGATTCCATAAGTCTTTGTGAGGTGGCGATCAAAGCCACATTCTGAATTTTAGGTTCCCATGGCAACAAGTGGTTCAATGTAATGCTCCACATACTATAAGGGAGAGTCAGCAATAACAAGCTTTTAACTTAATGTACATTATGAAAAAGATGCACACTGGTGCTCTGGGTGTTACAGTTGATCTACTGGTGCAACTTAAATATAAAGCAAAGTTGAAAAAATAAAAAAGCTTGTGCTACGACTGATGCTCTGGGCCAATAAAATGTAAAGGCATCAGGTGCTCTTTAAGAACAGTGAACAGAAGTCAAAATAGATTTAAAAAAAAAAAAGCCTATCTTGATGGGTGGCTGTGGCTCAGTTGGTAGAGTCAGTTGTCTCTGCACCAGAAGGTCAGGGGTTCAATCCCCAGCTCCAGGCAGCGTATGAGTGTGTATGTATAAAATGCTTCTTCAACAGCAATTTGCGTCTGTTCAACAATAAAAACTCTCCACGACTCTTCTTACACTGTTGTTTGTAACAAAGAAAATTTGAATCATCTGTATCCTAAAATAATCCCATAGGGAAATGATACCTTTACCTTTCCCCTTGTCCAAAAGAATTAAGGAAAACAAACAACCTTATATTTCACAGGAATCGAGTTTTGGCACGTTTATAAAAGCGACTGCCTTCATGAGCTTGTCTTCTAGATTTAACTTACCTTTTTCTAGTTCCCTTATTGACATGTCTGATTTCAATCATGTTGCTCTCTTATACTGAAACACGTAGTGAAGCGGCCATGCTGGTTTTTCTTCCACCCTGTGTTTAAGTATCTTTTTTTTTTTCATATATTGTTTTCCCAACTATAGTCCTTTCCCTTGAATGTCGTCACCTTAGGTTTTTGTAAGTTGTAGGTGTTTGCACTAACTTGTTTTCTTATGGTGTGCCCTACTTATACAAAGATGTTCTGTTTCTGAGGTATTTTATGAAATCTGTACATCTTGTTTGTATGTCTTTTTGTTGTTGCTTAATTTGCGACCTTTGCAAAGTGTCATGTGACTTTCACTTCTGTCACATGACATCTTAAGTCTTTTTAAACACCTGTTTTTTTTGTCTCTGTCAATTATGTCCTGACGAAGATTAAGTTGAGTCGAAATTTGTAGACACATCGCTGTTAATAAAGGATTTTTATAGGCTACTGTGTCAGAGTACTGCATTGTTTGTACTGGTAAATGGACTTAAGCTTGTATAGCACTTTTCTGGTCTTCTGACTACTCAAAGCGCTTTTACACCGCATGTCACACCTACACATTCACACACTGATGGAGGAGGTTGCTATTTAATAATCCTGAATTGCTGCCCTATGCTTTTTCTCATCTTGTTTTTTGTGTGAAAAAATTTGCCATTGACTTCCTTTTAATGTATTTGCATAAACTACACGTTCAAAACACAACTTTAAATTAAGTTCACAATATTCATCATTTACTATAGTTGCTATTAGTCATCATTTAGTGCTTATTAATACCTTTTTCGACATAGTCCACAGCTAATAGGCCTTTAGCTAAGAATTTACCCTCAATAACATTAAGTGGCTCCTGTGGCTCAGTTGGTAGAGTCTGTCGTCTCTCAACTGGAAGGTCGGGGGTTCGATCCCCAGCTCCTGCAGCCACATGCTTGATGTGTCCTTGGGTAAGACATTTAATCCCAAATTGCTCCCACTACTCGCTTTGAGTCGTCAGAAGACGAGAAAAGTGCTATAAGCCTATCATTTACCATTACCCTATAATTACTGCCTATTGATAGTTATGACTTATGAATGATGATGACTTATGATCTAAATATGCTTTGCTTAGTTTGGCACATATCAGGTAGAAGTAAACAAAAACAAGATCATAAAACATGTACAACAACTTCCTAACTAACTATCAAAAAGGAATGATTAGGAGAGTATTGAGTTATTATAGCTAAAGAGGTATTAGCTAAAGATTATGTTCATGTAGAGCAGGGGTTCCCAAACTTTTCAGTCCGTGCCCCCCAATATAACAGTGCTAGAGACTGGGGTTTTGGAAGGAATCTCAAGACCCCCTAACAATGTCTCTCAGTCCAACTCCAGTTTGGAATAAACAAAGAGCTCAGAAATCAAGGAGCGATAACGAGGAACTTACCTTTATCAAAGAAGTTGATTTACTGTCAATAGTTCAAATAACTTGCTGGATAACCTCAAAGCTTGTGATTTGTTCAACTGCTCCAAGTGAAATGATATTTATTAAATCCCCTTTATTCAGAACTTTTGAGGATTCCATAAGTCTTTGTGAGGTGGAGATCAAAGCCACATTCTGAATTTTAGGTTCCCATGGCAACAAGTGGTTCAGTGTAATGCTCCACATACTATAAGGGAGAGTCAGCAATAACAAGCTTTTAATTTAATGTACATTATGAAAAAGATGCACACTGGTGCTCTGGGTGTTACAGTCTACTGGTGCAACTTAAATATAAAGCAAAGTTGAAAAAATAAAAAAGCTTGTGCTACGACTGATGCTGTGGGCCAATAAAATGTAAAGGCATCAGGTGCTCTTCAAGAACAGTGGACAGAAGTCAAAATAGATTTTAAATAAAATGGCTGTCCTGATGGGCGGCTGTGGTTCAGTTGGTAGAGTCAGTTGTCTCTGCACCAGAAGGTCGGGGGTTCAATCCCCAGCTCCAGGAGCTTGTCTAATGTGTCCTTGGGCAAGACATTTAATCCCGAATTGCTCCGGCTGCATATTCAACTTTTATTTTCTTCATTTTATTGGCTAAGCGGTTAATCTTTTTATTATGAAAAAAGTCGGCAGACAAATTGTTAATGACAATAATCTTGAATTGCTGCCCTATGCTTTTTCTAATCTTGTTTTGCGTGTGAAAAAGTTTTCCATTAACTTCCTTTTAAAGTATTTAAACATAAACTACACATTCAAAACACAACTTTAAATTAAGGTCACATATTCACCATTTAATAGTTCATTATTAGCTTGCTAATAAGTAGCATACTGGCCGTGTATTAGTCATTATTACGTGCTTATTAATACCTTATTCTACATAGTCAATAGCTAATAGACCATTATCTAAAAATTTGCCCTCAATAATATGAAGGGGCGGCTGTGGCTCAGTTGGTAAAGTGGGT